TGTATGAATAATAATTCTTCGCATGTCTACGAAAAATACACAATGATTTGTAGTAATCTTTAATGAGGTAATCTTTAATGATAAAATTAAACAATTTTTTCTGAAAATATTAAGCACTATAATTGACTTTACTTCCTATTTGCTTGTCTTTATTGACACTAGGTTTTTTAAGTCGGGATCTACAATAGGTGTTTTAAGTCTTAAGTAAGAAATTGACCAATTATAATCGAATGTGAGAAGAATAATTGACTATGATTCGTTCATTTCTTATGGCTTAAAAATCTATTGTAGATCCGGACTAATACATACACTTATCCCCCTGCCATTTCATTTATTGTTGTTGCAGAGAGCTTTTAAGTTCGGCTTAATCTATTGGAATACATCCTATTTCCGTCCTAAACTCATTGCTGTGATGATTTTACACGCATTGGAACATTAATGAGCAAGAGAACATGCGGTACGGTAAATCAATATCCAAGAGAGAGAAAGATAGAAAAGAACGACATTCCACATCAATGATCTTCCGGTGTAGATCGAATTTTTGCTATTTCGAATTGAGTAACAGTCTTCCTTATATAGTTAGGTATTCGGTTTATAGATGTTTTTTATTTGTATAAAATACATATGTATGTATACGGATTTATTTATAACAATAGTTGCATTAATACTCGCTAGAGTAAGTGCGAGAATTTGTTCCGTAGACGATACTTCGAGACGACGCGAGAAGAAATTCGTCACTAGCAAACGCATTTGTAAATACGCATGAGATAAGTACTGGTGACGAATTGACGATTCGTTGAAACTGCTCGTCAATATAGTTCGACACACTCTCATCACGCTCCAAGCATGTTCACCATCATTTTGAATCAGGCGGCGGATTTCGCATTTATTTATGTACGTGATTGTAAATATATTTCATCTCGAGAATCATAGATACATACGTATATGCTGCGACTCGAAATTATTCCGATATTACAAGATATATTTGTAAAAATTACATTTTGTGAACAAGTAACTTTTCCATTAAAAATCGATAATGCATTTCTTCGGTATTCTTAACGAAGGAAGATACCTCATATATTGTATAGATATTTTTATACGATGATATTTTTATGCGACTAGGAGATTCGTAATTATCGCTTATTTCTTCGTTATAATGTTAAGATGATACTAGTAATCGTAATGACTCTGTCGCCAGCTCGATAAAACGACCGCAAAGCCTGCATAACTTAACGTTTATATCATTCGTTGCTCATTTAAATTTCAATAAGAATATTTACAATATAATCTAAAATTCTATTGTAGTATAAAGAAAGATTTGTATACTAAATTGGCGCACAATTTTGCGACATATTTTTTTATAATTGTAGTTTTACCTTGTCTATATTTTTAGAAAAAAGCATGTATTTGCATTTTTTTTTGTAACGAAAGCATTTTACTATGTAATAGTATTAATCTAGGAGCAAAAATAACTGAAATTACTCTTAAGGGAAGTAGTTTATTCAACGCAATATTCGCGTTTTGTGATATAATTAATGAACCCGAAAACAAGCTGATCATGACAGTCGATCAGTACTTTTAACGGTGGCTTGATCAAATGCCCGTAAAAGAAATTCAGAGTAAGAGATATATATAGAGAGAAGAAGATCTTAGAAAACGGATATATGGCGATGTAAACACTACGAATCTAATTTAACTTTTTCCAACGCTTGATAAATTAGCAATAGATAACGCGACGTTTATATATTGGATTGAGTAAAAAATAACTTCGTATTTTAAAAATTGAATGTCACCTATAAATGTATCCCCTATAAATTTATTTATATTTTTTACTCCACCCAATATGATAATATTTTCTCATCGTTTTTATACAAATGTATAATACCATTGTCGATAGGTTGAAATTGTGCATATGCAAGTATCGAATGTAAATCGCGAGAATCTCAACTGAGATTCCCATGGATTCGCGGTGTTGATGGAAGGCCACCGTTTTCGTTGACGGGCGATTCGGGCATCAAGCCAATCCAAGTATTCTAATGTGCGCGTAATTTATATAAATTTATATAAATTTTCTTGGTCTTAAGGAAGAAGCTCCTGTCATAACTCAATTTGTTAAAGCGATATTGTGACTTTTAAATTTTTATAAGATTGAAAATTCATTATTATTGTATAAAAAGATCCGGGAGAGATATGATGGAAATCTCGCCGTTGTGGGATAGATGTGACGTGCCGTGTCGTTTAATTAGCCAACAATTAGTAGTGTGCCGCATAGTAAGGGCGACTATGTCAGGCACGCTTGAAATGTCTGAAAGGCAACGTAACGAGCCGGTTCTCGGAGCTGTAAAAATTATGGAAGTATCTCGAGAGAGTTCTGCCGCGCAGTTCTCTGCGCAGTTGATTTTCTGACGATTCATTTCGGATATATCCGTTCTTCGCACGAAGTCAATCGAACGTCTTCTGTACTATATCGGCGATGAAACACGGGCTATACGTAACTATTTTATGCATATTCTAGCACATGCTTCTATAACGATTTCCTACAGAGTAAAATAGAAATAAAAAAAAAATGCCAGCCGTAATATGATGTGATTGTACGTGTCTGTACAAAAATAAATTAAGGAAATATAATTTGTCTATCGATCGGATCTCGTAACGAACGAATGATTTGTTAATATTCTAGAGTTAGATACATATGTTAAGAACCTAAATTAAGGTCTAATTGTATCTGTACTGTGAATACGCGGATTTAAATAATATCAGTGTATTAATTACTATTCTGTGTGTCTTATTTCTCAATACTTACGGAATATTTAGCGATGTGACATATATATTCTATGAGAACATAAAATCATAACCACCAGGAGTGAACAGTATTTGAAATACATATATTCAAAAATACGTATTTAAATACATTTTTGTATTTGTTGGAATGGTAAATATAGGGTTTTAGGTGACACCTCACCGATTTCAATGTCTTTTAGATATGTTATAGGGGAAAGTATCCTGAGTGATCCTCCCCCCCCCTCTCCTCTCAAAAATTAAGTGGGCGACAGCATTGGTTTAGGAAATAGTAAATAAAAGTTCTATAATATTAAGAAACACAGTCGTGTCTCGCGCTAAATGTAACGCGAGATCGCCCTGTGTCTTTACGCGAGCCGACGAGTTGCGAACACTCGAGATTATCGGATTATTGAGGTTACTCAGAAGTTGATCGATTCTGAGCAGTCTTAACCCTTTGAGGAGCACATTTTTCTTCTAAACATAGCGACATTTCGGTCTAAATTCAAAGTTTTTCATTCAAATTGCATAAAAATAAGTTTTTGGATTTTGTAATTCCGACTAATTCAAAATCGTAATCAGCGACCCCAAAAACTCATATATCCAGTTTCGTGCAAATTGAACAAAAAACTGTAAATTTAGCCTAAAGTAGTTGCCATATTGGATCCGCCATTTTGAATTTTGTAATTCTGACATCAGAATCGTAAGCAGCGACCCCATAGATGACCCCCATAGATGTTTTCAATAATTTGTTTAAAAGAAAGATGTGCCCCTCAAAGGGATAAAAAATCAATTTTTCAAAATTTCAAAAATTTTTTTTGGAAAAATTAACGTGTAGAAAATTTTGAAAAAAAAATGTTATAATTTCAGATTTGGAGATTTTGGAATTTCAGATATACACACATAAAAATATTCAGAGCTTTAGCACTTCACGTTTAAGAATAGCCGAATTTATTCTGGAAAAAAGAATGAGTTTTTTTATATTAATTGTTTATAAAAAAATAGCAAATAAATAAATTAACGTAATTTTTCATGAAAGTTGCATAACTTTGATCTCTAAGAGTCTAAAAAGTACTCATATGCGCATACACACTGCAAAATGAATTAGAAATATGGAAAAAATTAAGAATAAAAAGGTAGGACGCATGTCTCACTGTTCCTCAAAGGGTTAATGGACAACTCGGGTTTAAATTATATAATTAAAGTATTTTTATAGTTGTACCTTATAAGCGAAGATATCGCGATGCAAAGTCTGAAATGTCAAATTTTTAAGTTACGTCATCATTGTTTTCGGAAGTGTTATCCGTTTCATATTTTAAATAACAAATGGCACTCACCTGTTACGACACTTAAACCAGGAGCACATAAAAAAACGTAAGAACGTAAGATGTAATCAGTAAGGATATCGTAAGATTGGATACTGGCTTTACGGTCTCTATCGTGATTGGACAATTCGTTTACTTATTACGTCCTTACGGCCTTACGTTTTTGTATGTGCCATGGACTTTAGAGACCCTCTAATTCGAGTCTGACCACCTAAAGTGGCCGTCATTTTTCATCGAAATTGTGCGACAGAGAAAAATCGTGCTATCTCACTTCATCTCACGCTACAGTTGTAAGTTGCAACTCTATAAAGACGCTCTATAAGTTTTATAATTTTTGACAAATATTCAAGTGACTAACTGGCAGTTAAAATTAAAAAAAAAAAAATTTAGTAATGTTTAATCATAAATATTACAAGTTCATAACCATCATGTATTTAAAGTAGAAGCATAACCTACAATGAATGTATCATTATGCATTTAAATGAAATAGATGAAAAATATCGGATCACAAATCGGGAAGAAGATGGCCAGGTTCTGATTAGAGGGTCTCTAACATTAGAGATCCTATAATAAAGAGTTTGGCGAATGTGAGTAAAAAATGACGGATAGAAAGAGATAACAGATATTGCTTTTTCGTATGAACGCATGGCTAAAAAGTTAGAATACGTGACAGGCAATACGTGACGACAATACCTGAAGAAACCAATTGAGTTGATCAATTGGCCGAATTGTGCAATTGTAATTTGTTAATTTTCTCTTTGTTTGAGATCTCGGAATAATTTTTAACCTCTTTAATACGGGTTTTATTCATTAACTTGTAGTTATCTATTTCTTTCTTTTCTTCGCACTCGTTTTCCGACAATGTACGAAGTTATCTGAAGAATACCGAGTAGACTAAGGTGAAGAAGATAGTTTTACATTGTACATTTTATACTTTCACTTATATCAATATTGTATTGTTCTGTCATTCTTATAATCTTACATTATTATTATAACTATAAAGCGTTATTTTTCGTTCTGGACACTATTTTATACTCATACACCGATGCTTTTTAGCTGTACAATTTTTCTAATGAGATGAGGATTCTGATACCAACAGTTTGATGTCTTGACATTGCGAAGTATATTTTCATTTGCCATCGAACGTACACAGTATAAGTTTTTACCTTTCTGACGAATTCTAATATATGTATTTTATGTATGTTACTGTTCCGTTCAAGTAACAAGACGAAGATTCTTCTTAATTTATTGATACCAACAATTATATAGTTATTAAATGCGAATTACATGTTTAATCTTCGATCAACTTTATGTTGTTTTTTTACCGTTTATAAACCTATTTTGTAAACATTGATAATGATCCGATCGTGATTGAAACGTTTGTTGATAGCCAGCATGTTATTAAATTTTATAATTATTTGATTAAAACTTTTATTTATTTATTAATTTTTACTGGTCAAATTTTGGCTCGTAGCTTTTTTCTTTTAACTTGTTTTTAAATTATGGAGCCACTATTGTATGAAAATATATGTAGTCTGTAACATGTATTTATTAACAATGTCACTTTAAAAAAAAATTACGAAAAAAGAAAAAAGGAATCGATCGTGAGATCTCTAACATTCTAATCTTGCAACCTATGCGAGACCACGAGATCTTGCAAACCGCTTCTATGAACGTGGTATATAACGCTCATAGAAAATCATGGAAATGTCAATATCTCGTAAATTATCGTGTTTTGAAATTATTTTTGCTATTACATATAAATTAGAAGGATATACAATTAATATAATTTAAAGAACTGGAAAGGATACAGGCAGTAAGAGTCAAGCGCAGAAGACGTCGCGCAAATAATATACGAGGTCTGTTCAAAAAGTATCGCGAATTTTGAATTTCCGCGGGTTACGTATGTTCGATTTTCGATTTTTTTTGTGGCGTTATGTTGGTACTCATGTCTCTCACTTATGCCGACAAGTTCGGCCATTTTGAATGTTCAGTTAATTTTTGACAGCTGCTTTGCTTGCACGTGTTTTGGCTCGTCTTCGATTTTTGCCTATTCCAAAAAATGGATCAAAGAATCTGTATCAAATTTTGTGTGAAAAACAAAATTAAGTGCGCGGACGCATTCCGAATGTTGACTGTGGCATATGGTGAAGCTACCTTGGACCGAAGCAACGTTTATCGGTGGTACAAAATGTTCTCAGAGGGCCGAGAAGATGTGAACGACGAAGAGCGTGCCGGACGCCCGAGCACGTCAACAACAGACGAAAACATTGATGAAGTGAAGAAAATAGTATTGGCCAATCGGAACGGTCAATAAGGAATATTACCTGCAAGTTATGCGCAATTTGCGCGAAGCAATCCGCCAGAAACGCCCGGATTTGTGGAAGAACAAAAATTGGCTTTTGCACCATGATAACGCCCCTGCTCACACATCGTTGCTTGTGCGCGAATTTTTGACCAAAAACAACACACTAATGATGCCGCAGCCACCGTATTCCCCAGATCTGGCCCCCTGTGACTTTTTCTTGTTCCCGAAACTGAAGAGGCCCATGAAAGGACGACGCTACGCTACGATTGAGGAGATAAAGACGGCATCGAAGGAGGAGCTGAACAAGATCACAAAAAATAATTTTTTGAAGTGCTTCGA